TGACTCCTTCCAACCTCTGTAAATTTATATAGATTCACTATTTCTGTCAGTTAAAACAGTTTTTCAGTATGCTTTAAATATCTCTATATACAAAGTAAAAAAAAAATCACAATTTTGTCCACACACAAAAATTATTTTCCCTTACCTTTCCCAAGGGATAAGAAAATCTTTTTCTTTTTAGTGTTTTCAGAAGTTGACATTAATTTTAATTCTGTCAGCAAGTCATAAATAATCAATATTGTTCTTTGTATCACCCTAAGCTGAGCTATACTACTGAAATGTGATAGAATTAAAACCTGTGATTGTTTCTGAAATTTATTCAATTTCACAAATACAGGAGATTATACTAAAATGTATTTAGAAACTTAAAGGACAATATGTTATTTTCAAAAGAAATACTTCTGTATTTTATAACCATAGTATAAGCATTAAGTATGTTATATTTACTCAGAAGATGTAACAAGGCCTATCATGTGTCTACCATCAAAAAACATACCCATTTCTTATTTTTTTTTTAATTTGAAAATATCTCTTATACCAGCAATGAAAAACTCAATCCTACTTTTGATAACCATCAGACTCCATGACATTGCTACAAAAACCTGTTGTTGTGGGACACATGGGTGGCTCAGTGGCTGAGCATCTGAGCTCAGGGTGTGATCCCAGAGTCCCGGAGTCCTGGGATCAAATCCTGCATTGGGCTCCCCACAGAGAGCCTGCTTCTCCCTCTGCCTGTCTCTGCCTTTCTCTCTGTCTCTCTTACGAATAAATAAAATCTTTTTAAAAATCTATTGATGCTAAAGATATTTAGTTAAGAGCTTTAGGGAAATGCTTATGGAAAATATTTTGATTTTTAATTACACAATATAAAGTATACAGCTGTATGTTTCTGACAGATCCTGTATCCATCACAAAGAATTTTGTCAGTAAGTGGGACAAACATTAATGGAGAGAGCCCTATACCTTGTGTTTTATTTCATGTGAAACCATAGGCAAAACTATTAAATTCTTAACATGTAACTAAAGTAAAATGGCATCGGTTTGGGATCTTTCAAAGATGAATGTGGGAGAGGTTTGGTGGCTCAGCCAGTTAAGTATATGCCTTCAGCTCAGGTCAAGATCCCAGGATCCTCGGATGGAGGCCCATGTCTGGCTCCCTGCTCAGCAGGGAACCTGCTTCTCCTTTTCCATCTGCCCCTCCCTGTCTCATACATGAGCTCTCTCCCTCGCTCAACTAGATAAAAAAAAAGGGGGGGGGGATGAATGTGCAAGGTGGCTACAGTAATTAGTGAGGAATGACTAGCCAGTGGTGTCCCTTGATGTGCAAACAGAATAAACATCCTTTCAAATACAATATCCAAATGGTTAAAACTGCACAATTTAAATTTTGTGTTGAAAAAGAAACTTATTAGACAATCGGAAAAGGACAAACATTATATGGTCTCATTCATTTGGGGAATATAAAAATTAGTGAAAGGGAGTAAAGGGAAAGGAGAGAAAATGAGTGAAAATATCAGTGAGGGTGACAAAACATGAGAGACACCTAACTCTGGGAAATGAACAAGGGATAGTGGAAGGGGAGGTGGGCGGGGGGTTGGGGTGACTGGGTGATGGGCACTGAGGGGGGCACTTGGCAGGATGAGCACTGGGTGTTATGCTATATGTTGGCAAACTGAACTCCAATAAAAATTTTTTTTAAAAAGAAAAGAAGAATAACTTATTAGTCATATAAAATATCTAACAATACAAGTAATTCTAATATCTCTGTATACTCCAGTGTTTAGATAGTACAATGATAACTTGAGAGAGACATACCTGCCCTAGGATGTGAACATCTACTTAGAAAAGATATATACTCCTTAATGGACATGTCTGCCAACCAAAAAAGTACAGTTTGACACAATGATCTACAAAATCAGCCTGCATCTTGAGGATATTAGACTGGTACCACTGAACTGAAAGCCATACAAATGTCATGAACTTTTCTTTACTGAGAATAAAGATACCTTCACTTGCATTCACAGACAGACCAGCGTCAGATGAATTCTGTGACTGAAGACCAGACTTATTTCTTCTTTCTTTGCTTAAAGCCATCTTTATCAACCACACTGCAAAACTCATTCCATATGTAATACCCAATCTATAAACCAAACTGTGGTTTAGGAAGGAAGGCAAAAAAGGGGGGGGGGGATATCTCTGTCAGTTGTTTTGTCTTATGAGAATTTCATCTTCTATTCTCCTTGACCTTTTAGAATTGAGTCATTGAAGAGAGGTAGCTCATAAGCAAGTAGCCACTATAATTCACACAAAGAAAAGGCTGAAATTCTCTCACCTTTAAACCTCACAATGAGCAAGGTCCAAATAAATTCTCAAAAGGCCTCTGCCAGACTTTGTGCTTTATGTCCTTACACCTCTACTTAAAATTCACCTGTTGCCTGAGTATTATCTTGAGTTGAGAGCAGACATTCTTTCATAAAAGAACTCCTAATCAGGAGTCAGGGCAGGGTTATATATGTGTTTTACAAGTATTTTGATTCTTGATTCATGAAGTATGCAGATGACAGTGTATACTTTGCACTCTTAACCAGAAGTTTGTTTCCTTATGATAAAACAGATAAGACATTTACTATATAGCTCCTGAACTTTTCACACAGTTAGGCTAACGTATGAGATACTGCCCTATCTTATAAGAGACTATTCCATGTTAGTTCCCATCCACCCCCCACAATTATACTCAGCAACAACTTTAATGGGCCATATATAAAAACTAGTCTTAAGTAACATGCACATACTAACCGGTAGGTACCCTTATTAAAACTTTAAGGATCTAAATTTTTCGTAAATGTAACCTTGTTTTCCCATCAACCATAAGAGATCCAGTCTCCTACTTTAGAACATTCTTCATAAACACAGCCTTTAAAAAAATAGTAACCAAAGAAAATGACCAAAATAGATTATAAATGTGCGTTTTCAACAGCGTTAATCAGCAAAATATGTAAAAATGCGATGCTTGGTTATTTTCTTATAAATCTTCAGATTATCTGAATTCTCCATTTATCAATCCAAACCAAAGAAAACCAATAAAAATCCGCAGATTAATTAACACTGCTGGTTAATGTAATTTATATCAACTCTACCTTTCATTCCTTGATTTCTAAATGTTACGGAATTTCAGAAACTTAGGAGGCTAAATGATATTAATTTGGAGTCAGGTTACGTATAATTAAAGTACATATTAGCCTTACAAATTATGGTTCAATTTTGCAATGATCTTATCACATTCCCCTTTAAGTTCAAGAAAAGTGCTCTAAACATAATTAAACTAGCAGTGTTTTTTTCTTAAAAGTCATTCTTTCCTGACACTTTGAATAGAAATCAAACTGTTTTCCCCCCTTAATTGGTTTACCCTTAAATAGACAGCTTGCTTTATTCTCATGATTTCCAAAATTTCTACCAAAACTAAGTATCAGTCAGCGGCCTGTTTTTAACTTCACTCTTAGAGTGAGCTTATACCCCAGAAATATTTGCTTTATCTAAACAAAAAGCTAAATAAGAACATTAGTTTTAAAATAAACACAGAGACTATGATGCTGTCATCCATTCTGCTAAATAATGTCAAACAACTACATTCTTTGTAATCAACCCCATTTCAAAAACAAACTAGCCACCACACCATATGGTGACTTAGCTAGGTCTTAGAAATACCTAAATGATTCTCCACAGAACAATCTAAAAAGAAAAGCTTACTATATCTTAGGACATTCTCCCAGTCACTAAGGTTGTCCCAATAGGGCCACAGATAGGCATAAATTTAAATGGGAAAAGTGTAAATTTCCACTTGCTGAACATAACCAGCTCTCTACAACTCCCACTTCCAAGTGTCATATCTGTTTGGAGTAGAGAAGCAAACACTTAAGTACACCTTTTCAGAAACGATTTGAGTTTCAAATTGGGATTTGTTCTTTTATGACCTCTAGGGCAACCATACTCCATGATCTTAAATGCTGAATGATCATGAGATTCATCCCCAAAATTCATTAAACTTTTTTTCTAGGACAACTTGACTCATAATTCCGGATTCCTCCTCTTCTCCCTTCCTGAGCGATTTATACCACCAGCAATCTTAAAATCATTCTCCTGAATATTTCCTGTATAATCTGTATAAATCCATTCCAACTTCTAAAACATCCACTTAAGTACTCGAGAGAAATGAAGGGCTTTTTTTTTTTTCTCTATTTAGTTGACACCAACAGTGAAGTTCAAGACTTTGACAAATTCCACAGTACAGACATATTGTTCCCCGCACAGAAGTTTATCATCAGGAAACAAAATACATTAGCATGTAACAACATATGTCCCCAGATTACAATTCAAAACAAACTGGGCACCACCAGACGCAGCCTCATCCAGGAAAACTCACTGCAAAACCACAAAGTGTGTACCAACCCCTCACCTCCAAGCATTGCTTGCTTTTAACATCAGAATCGTTTTTACTGACTTCACAGACGTTGACTTGTCACTTTAGAAGAAACTTTATCAAAAGCATTAAGAAACTTCAAAAGTATTAAGGTAATCTAGTAAAATCCACGTGTTGAAACATCACCCAGTGCTGCTAAAAATAAATACATTTAAAAAAAAAAAAAAAAGCTAAACTGGAGGATTTCTGCTAGAGGCGAAAACTCTGAGGGCACCTGAGCGGAGGGAAGTCCTAGGCCAGGTGTAGCAGATCTAAAAAGCGGGCCCAGCGGCGGAAGACCCTGCAAACGCCATCCGGTTGCGCTACTTATGATCGTTTCGGTTGTTGAGGTTATAAAGTCCTGAGCGAGACGGGGAGGGAAAAAGTCTCTAGTCCCCTACTGAGTCTGAAGTTTCCAGCACTCTTCTGGACTGCCTTCCCTTTAGTTGCCAGCGCTCGGATTCCCTCCACTTCGTGGCGAGTCCCAAGCGTCCCGAGTGTCCCCGGGAGAGGCGAGGGAGCGGAGCTCGCCTGCGCTGCTTACCTGTTCCCTCGGGATGCAGGGCAGGGACGTCCTCCGATGGGACTTGCTGCTGCAGCCGGACATCTCCGCGGACACCACGGAGCTGGACCGCCGCCGCCTCTTAAACACCGGGGTGTCTTCCTTGGTCCCAGCAAGGGGCTGGGACCCGAGGTGCTCCCTCGGAGCCGCCCCCGCGGACTGCGGCAGGATCTGCTCCACGTAGCTGGCCAGGAGCAGCCCCAGCCCGCCGGCCGAGTACGCCAGGTAAGGCCTCCAGGCGGCCTTGAACCTCTCTAAGGAAATGAGGGACACGGTCCTGACCGCGCTAGTCACGGCGACCATGAGGACGCCCAGCCCCAGCCCCAGCCTCAGCCTCAGCACCAGCCATGTCGCGGCGGCCAAGCAGCTGAGCACCACCCCCGCGGCCGGGAGCGAGAGTAAGCGATCCTCCCCGACGCCCAGCCCAGTCTGGACGAGCGCTTCCCCCCCGCAGCAGGCGGCGAGCAGCGCGGCGGCCAGAGGCAGGCGCACCCCGGCGCGCCGGAGGTACAAGCCCATCCAGAAGAAGGCACACAGGAGACTGAAGAGCAGCGCCCAGGGCTGCAGCCAGGGGCTGAGCGGCGCGCCGCCCCCGGGAGCACCTCCCCGCCGCCCCGGGACGACGCCCCCTTGCGCCCCCGGGGCCGCTTCCTCCGCGGCCGCCACCGCCTCCCTCCGCTGCGGGTCGCGGCCGGCCTCCCCGCGCGCCAGCCGCAGCAGCAGGGCCAGCAGAAAGGACAGGGAGCCCGCGCGCAGCGCCGAGGAAAGTTCCCGGGAGCGCCCGAGCGGCCGCGGCACCGGGGGCCCCCAGCGGCCGCCGCGGCCCGAGTCCCCACGCCGTGCGCGGCCGGCGCGAGCGGGACGGCCCGGGCCCGCGGCGGGGGCTGCGGGCCCCCCCCGGCGGCCGGGCTCGCGGGGCGCTGCCATTGCAGCCTCTTCACGCAGTCCCGCAGGTGCCCCCGACGCCCCCAGCCCGGCGCCCGGCGCCCGCGCACGCTCGCGCGCGCCCCCCGCCCGCTGAGCCCACCCTCGGAATCCCCCTTCTCCCCGCGCCCCCGAGCCGCCGCAAGTTTCCGCTTTCCAGTAACTCCTGCAGAATCCTGGATGCTCCCAACAGTCGCCTTCAAGTCCAGAGCTAGCACAGGCGCCAACGACCAGACTTCCTCCCTTTCTCTCTTTGAAAAACTCTTAAAAATCGTGCTCCACCCCCACCCCCCGATTCCTGTCCTCCGGGGTCCCTTCCCTCCGGGAGGGTTCTACGGCTCGCCCCACGGGCCCGGCGCGCGGGGGCTGCGGGCGCCGCGGGAGCCGCGGGAGCCGGGGGCACAGCGCGAGCTCGGGGCCATCTCCCGCGCCCCTCGGCGCTGCGCTGCTGCGCGCCCGGCCCGCGGCCGACGGAGGGGCCCCTTCTCCTCCTCCCTGCAGCTCTTTCCCTGTCACTCTTTCTTTCTCCTCGGCCGATCCTCCCCGGCTCGGCCCCAGGAAGCGAACCGCCATTCCCCGGGGCAGAAAGCGGGGCCTCCCGTGCCTCTGTCGGTCCAGCTCATGGCAAAGGGCGGAAGAAAATGGAAATGGGGCTGAGAAATAACCGAGAAGTTGCTAAGTCCCGTCGAAAAGGAGACCCAGTCCGAGAGGCTAGCGGCAGCCGCGAGAAGGGAGGGACGGAGGGAGGGAGAGCGAGCGCGCGAGCTGGAGAGGAAGGGAGGGTGAGAAGGGAGGGAGGGTGAGAAGGGAGAAAGAGAATTACTTTCCCCCCCCCCCCTTCTTTTTGGTGCGATGTAGGTGGCGATTTGCAGTTTTTGCAAAAGGGAAACGAGTGGAGACGTCTGGTTAAAACTGTATAACGAAGAAGCAAGCAACTGGAGTGATCAGCAATTCAGCTCGCTCGCTTGCTCGCTTGCTAGAAGGCAACTCCCTAGGAAAGCTTTCCCGGCAGAGCTCCCGCCTCCTCCCCCAGAGGAGGCGCTGCTCCCAGCTCTCCGCTCCCTTCCCCCGAGCGGGTCCCGCGCTCCCAGCTGCTGCACAAGGGGTGGCTGAGGCCAGTCCTCCGTCCAGCCTACCGAAGCCGGGGTGGCCTATGGCTGGCCCTCAGGCTGAGCTCCCCGGGACGCTAGGTAAAAGGGATTGTCTTTGGCTGCAAGGCAGCAGTGGAAACCAACATACTTGCTCCTGTCTTGAAAAATGACAGCCACATCTACCGTCAGTGACTCAAAGATGCTCCTTAGTTCCCAGGTCAGTTGCAACAGCAGACCAGTGTCAGGGGGCACTGTAATGCTTTGGCTGCTCCTGCTGGAAGGTCTGTTTTAAACAGCGAACCCAAGCCTTTCCCATTGTTCCAAATGATGGAAAATCTCAACAAGCTACCAAGATCGTAATAGCATCATTAAATGGGGCTGGGGGGTAGGGGTGGGGGGGTGGGGGAGCATTCGCGTTTTACAGAGTGTTACTTAAAAAGTCCGGGGTATGAGAGTATTAGGCAACAGCTGTTGATGGTGGTCGCTAAATACATTGACATTAAGTGACCCTGGCCTCAAGAAGGTTTAGCAAATTAAACCCAAATAGTAATTAGAAAGGAATTAAAAGAAATCTGTAAAGGGGGATGTGAGGCCAAGTAGGTTAACAACCAGGAAAGCTCTGAGAAGACCTGTCTAGTTGTGAAATAGTGTGTGTAGCATAAAGAAAGCTTGTGAGAAAAGATCAGGACCCTAGTTAGGAATGTTTACAAGATGCACCATTCATGTGCTGTAGTCATGTAGTATTTGAGAAACTAAAGAAAAAATTTAAAACTAGCTTTCTTGGCAGAGTCTGAAAAAATCATTCAATATCCAACGGGCTTTTAAAAAAACCCAACAATGTTGGGAGCTACTTCCTTTTTTTACACTTAGAACATAAGAGTATGATAGTCCGCTCTCGTTCATGTTTAATATGGGTACCTTAGATGTCACTTGCCCTCACTAATAATATTAATAATAATCCAGTTTTGTCTTAATTATCTTGACATTCCAGGTTAAAGTGTGTTTCTAGCCTGGAGTATTTGGATAATTGGTTCAATATGCCACTGTATTTCGTGTGTAGAGATGAAGTAATATAAAGAGAAGCCAAAGGAGATACTTGAGATAAAATTAATTCATGGGGGTTGGGGAAGATGGCTAAAGGCTTAAACTTAGCTTCATGGGAAACAGCCTGCTCTCCTTAGAGACAGGTATTAATATTAATTTATGATATAAATGGATATGAGGAGCTATGATGATACAACTCTCCATCAGATGTCCAGAACTATACTATCACATGGAGAACAAGTTGGGCAGCTAGTCAGTGGCAGTGGGCACCATCTGTTTAATAATTAAGGAAACAGAAGCAGAAATGTCTTTGCCAAAGACAAATGAGCCCCCTAGCATGCACACATACTTCTGAGTTTCCTTTTTAGATACATGATTCATATGCCAGAGCCTACCTGGAATACTTCAGAGTGAAAAACTTTGATTGGAAAATCATGCTAATATCCATTGGCATCAAAAATAGCCTATTAAATGAAAAATATGTGTATCAAAGTAAGAAAAACATAGGGGAATTTTATAATATTTCCATTTTTTCTGTCCCTTACCCATATGATACTCTCAGTTCTTGAGGAAAAAAAATAATCATAAAAACTGAATTTATAAGAGATGGAATGTTGACATTTTTAAAAAAATGTAACTGAAAAAAATAAGAATGACATGTGTTAATGCAGCAAAACAAAAATACTAGACCTATATGTTAAACGGACATTCTTGAGGTGTTCAGTGGTATTACAGAGGCAATGTCCTGGCATCTGGGTTTCTCTACATTCTCAAAAAAATATGTAAATAAAAAAAAACAGAGGTTTATTTTTCCCACACAAAGGAAAGAACATAGATTCCATCACTCCCCTTACCCCCATTGCCATCCAGAACCACGAAGCAGATGAATGAAAAATAACAATTACTCTTACTAGAAGAGAGATGCAGAAAGCTACAGCAGTATAGTAAACGAAGTGACAGACATTGTGTAGAATATATTAAATGAAGTAAGACCCAATACACAAAGTGGACATTGAGTAATCATCTATAAATAAAACTGCCCGTTTTCTACAGATAACAGTGAGTCCTAATTCAAGAAAGGGACAACATAGCCAAAGGATAAGAAAAATGTAAAAAAAAAGAAAAAAAAATGTGATACATGCAGGAAAGTAGAATCCAGATCTTTCCTACTGTATATCGATGTGTTTTCCTTCACATCAGTTCATCTCATTGATAACATTAGTAACTCATATGTATATGAGACTCTTAAGTGAAAAGCATGCTGATACTTTGCACACACAAAAAACAATTTATCATTATTTGGGAGACTAACAAAATATATATTTGTATCACTATATAATAATTCCACTTTCCAGAAAATGGAAAGAAAAATTCAAATATAACTTGGTAAAGCCCTCTACTTAGCCAAATCTAACAACGGTGTTTTCATTAGCACTTTGTGAAAAGGATCTCCAGTTTAAACCCATTGCATATCATTTGGCTATGCTTAAGGGGATTCTGCTAAATTTTAAAAGTTTATGCACTATAGTAGGGGTTTACTCACTCCCAACTACCTACCTGAACTCTCTGCATATATATCAAATGGCTATCTAACATATAATAAACCCAAAACAAAATTCTTACCTTTCAACTCACTCCCTGCCCTTCCACCAAGCCCCACATACCCAGACTTTCTCCTCAGTAGTCCCACCACAGGAAAAAAACATAACCTACCTAGATGTTCAGGCCCCCAAAAGGGCACTGCCCTCAATTCCTTATTTACCTTCTTTACATACAACCTATTATTAAGTTTTTTTGATTCTGTCTCTAAAATACATCTTGAATCCATCTGTTTTTCACCATCTTACTTAGAATAACAAACCAAAGACCCATCGCTGTCCCTAACCAGGACAATTGAAATCACTTTCTAACCGGTCTTGCTCTCCTCCCCTTCATTTTCTTCCACACAGCAGCCTGAGTGAGAATTTTACAATCTAAGTCAAATGATGTCACTCCTTGCTTAAAACCATCCACAGGCTTCCCACTGAACTTGCAGTTCTCATGCCACCTACTACGACCTTCGTGATCTTTGCAAACCACTCTAACATGACCTCTCCTAATTCTCCTACTTCACTAGTGCAACACTATCCCTCAGAACATTCCTTCAAAGATGAAAATATACTCTGCACTCCCAAATATGGTAGCTACTAGTCATGTGAGGCTTTTGAGGACTTGAAACACAGTGCCACTGAGGAACTGAGTTTTTATATTTTATTTTAATTGATTTAAAATTTAATAGCCTCACATGGCTATTAGCTTCTCATGGGGAGGGAATGCATCTCTTGCCCCTCAAGCCATCGTCCTGTCATTCTTATTATGTCAAATTGAAAATCCTGCTCAGGACCTTAATATCTACAGAACTTCACATAGCTGCCTCCTTCTGCTCCATCAGTTCTCATTGAAAATATTACCTTTGTAGAAAGGCTTTTTCCCCATCATCTTATCAAAAAGTCTTTTTTTTTTTTTTTTTTATCAAAAAGTCTTGAATCTCCATGTGCCCACACATGTTTTGTCCTTCCCTACCACACTACCCGGTTGCATTCTATTTATAGCACATATCACTATAGAAAATGGTCTTGCTTATTTATTTGGTTTCTTGCTTATCGTACATCTCCCTTCGCTAGGGTATAAGTGCTCTGTGAACAAAGACCATGAACATCTTTAGCTTGTTGCTGTGTACCACCAATGACCAGAATCGTGCCCC